TTTCAATTATTCAAAATGTTTTTAATTGTATATTTTAAAAATTTAATTAGAAAAATTATTCAAAAATAACTTTTCAAATAGTTTTCTGTAGTTATACTTTTACACAATAAAAATCGAAATAAGTTGCATTTCATATTAAAAATGTGGTATTTTGTTAAAAAAAAACTTGGAAGAAAAGTCGAAAAAGTCGTAATTTTTTTAATATAAGTCGATAAATGTTGCATTATTTGAAAATAGTCGGAAAAAGTCGAAAATGTCCCTGGTTCTGCTAAAGTGGATAGTCGAAAAAATTATAGTTGTAAATATTTTAAAATACGAACAAATAACGATCGTAATTTGTGCATGCTCTATTCAATTTTCTCCCTCTGACTTTGCGCATTCAAGTCACGCGGATAATAGTAAAAGAATTTCGATTAGTTTCAAACTTTGGTGGCAATGACGCAATTATATAATATCACAGGTAACTTTAAAAAATAAAAGAAACTAAAAATAATCATAAATATGTTTGCTTTATTTGAAAATCGAAAATAATTTCATCACCGAGAATTAAATTCTGTTAATAATTTTTATCAATCCGATTTTTTTTTTTATTCTGACATTCTGCTGTAAAGAAAAAAGAAGATTAAAAAAAAAATAATTTCTTTTACTTTATTAGTAAAATGCAAATTATTTTTTCTTAGTATTCATAAAAAAAATGTTGGATTTCACTTCGAATTGTAGGAGGAAATATAAGACGATTATGATGAAAACTGTAAAGACGCGTATTAACTGGTAAATTTACACCTCCAGTGTTGTGAGTTGGTAAAGTTCAAAAGCTCCAGGTGCATGTATAAAAAGTACACGTTATTTTATGTGCGAACAGGGGCAAGAAAATGTCCACATTTTTTTACTTTTCTTTTTTTATTCAAAACATGTATCTTTACCATAAAATATTTATTTACTATTTTCTTTATAATTATATATTAATTCTTAAAACAAAAAAACAAAAAATATCGAAATTTGTCTATTTGACTCTGTTTGTACTAAACTTCAAAGAATTCATTTATTCATCATGAAATTTATAATCACTTGAATATTTTCTACCTGGGCCTGTGGTAAAATTCCTTTAGAAATGTTTTTTTACAAAAATAATAAAAAGAGAAAAATTACGAAGTCGCATTATGAGGGAATTTGTAAGAAAACATTTCGGAAATACAACGGTTTGGTTAATATAATTTCTTAAAGACGGGACCTAACGATATGAGAGCTCTTGAATTGTGGTCTCATTTCGGTCGAGCGCGTGACTTTTATACTCAAAGTAGGCGGGGCTTCCCTACTTAACGGTCGAGTCGCTGGTGGGGCGGCGCGTGCGCACAATCCCATCAGTACTTCAGGGTCGTATGAAGGTACTGCAGAACCCTGTTTGGCGTCGATATATTTCTGACCCTATAATCATATTATAATGGCAAAAAATTTTTAATACTTAAATTTTTTATTTTTTTAGATCAAAACAAAATAAATATAAAAATTTAAATTTTCCAGAAACACTATTTTTAAAAATTCGCAAGAAAAATTTTAATTTGTTTTCACTGCATTAAGGCGTTAAGAAAAAAAAATATAATAATAATAAAAAAATATAATAATAAATAGAATAAAAGTATAAATTGAAAGAAAAATTTTTGCGTCTTGAGACACGTTCGAGTGCATTTTTACTTTTCCCTCATATTATTACTACATTCAATGGTGTATATATGGAAAAGGTTATAGTACTATATAGCTATTTTATTCGTTGTCGAATAATGTACAAGTACCTCGGGAATGTTTCGCCTTCGATATGTATATAAAATTATGCGCGCTTTCAAAATAAGAGTAATACTAAAGAAAATTAAATATTATCGTTTTATTTTTCATTCGGACATATTCATTCGGGGTTAAAAGATCAGGTATATTTTTAAAAAATAATTTTCTTTCTATATAGTTTCCCTTCTTCTTCTTCTTTTTTTTCTTTTGCTCTTTATTCTTCTACTTCACAATTAAGTATCGATCATATATGTGATGGCTCTCGATGAAGCTTGCACAAATACTTTTTAATACCAGTATTTATTCGGGCACAAAAATAAATACTTGGCATTCAGTTTTTATTAGGAAAATAATGAATTTTTTTTATATTCGCCAATCATTTTGCAAAATTTTTTAAATAATTTTTCATTTATAAATCTACTTATTTACTTTTTCAAAAAAAAGAAAATTTTTTTAAAATAAAATGTTATCTTTGATAATAATTCTTTTATGTACCATTTTAATTTTTTAGTTTGACAATTTTTTTTTTGTAACAAATATTCTACATGGTACTTTATTTTTTAAATTTAAAAACTTGTTTTGCAATGCTTTTTAATGAATTTTTTTATCTAACAAAAAGTTTATTATTCTTCAAATTTATCATAGAGAGAATTAAATGAAATAATACCTTTTCATGGGATGAGAATGTAAAAAAAATTTTTTATTCTAACAATAGAAACAAGTTTTTAATATTTGTAAAATAAACACACTAAATTTGAATCAATAATATTTGAGAGAAATTTTCGTTTGACAATTTCAAAATGAAAGTTTCATTTAGAATTTAATTGATATATTGCTTTTTTGTGAAGACAAAAAATAAATAAAAGTAAAATAGGTTACATTTTTTACTTCAATAAGTAAACTTAATTGTTATTGCGTTTTTTGGAGATATTGAAAACAATGTTTCTTTTGAAGAATTTATAAAAATACTCGAATATTGTAAATTCACTTTTTTAAAATTATTTCAAGTATAATATAATTAATATTATTATTAAATAAATATATTGGTTATTAATTTAAAGAAACATTTATGTTGTATATTCAAATTCTTTGATAAAATTTTAGGAGCTTAATATTCCATAGAAGTTAATTTCATTATCCAACGAAAATCTGACATTCAACATAATAACTTAGATTAACCTTTATCAAGAATTGACAAAGCATTAATCACTTTTTGTCAATTTATATTCAAATTGACACCCGAACCTTCCGTAATGAAAAAATATTTTCTTTCATTTCTAATTCAATTTTTCTGAAAAAAAAATTATTTTTTATCCCCTGTGCATTATTAATTGTATAAAAAATTCATTTTTCCCTCTTAGAAAAATATTAAAAATTGTATTTTTTAATCTAGCACATATAACATTTCCTAATATAATTCTTGATTTAATGTCGTCTATTCAAAATAGAAACAAGGGTAGCAAATGAAGAAAAAATTACTAATTTAACAGTGTACATTTATTCACATATAAACTTTATTAAATATTTATATTACTTAATTGCCTTCGGAGTCAAAAATGAATACACAAATTCTTTATATAGTCCTTGCAGTTTAAAATAGTTTCCCGTATTGAAAAAAATACCTGTACCCTTGTAAAATAATTATGTAAATTTTTTGCTGTTTTCAAACATTTTTAAATTGTTTTGTTTTAAATTAGAAAAAAATTTTTCATATGTGCAACTACATGCGTCATCACATTCGAAATTTATAAAATTAAATACTTGAGTGTTTATATGTGCAAATACATGCTTATTCACATGTTATAATAGACGAGTATTCACATGTGAAAATTTATGCACATTTACACGTGTGAATACATTCACATGTGCAAATAGATGCCCATTCACGACACTAGAGGTAAAATTACAAACGTATTCACATGTGCAAATAGATGCGTATTCACATGTGCAAATAGATGCGTATTCACATGTGCAAATAGATACCTATTCACATGTGCAAATAGATACCTATTCACATGTGTAAATAGACGCCTATTCACATGTGCAAATAGATTCCTATTAATATGTGCAAATAACATGCTTATATTCACATGTGCAAACACACGCGACTATACGTGAAATAATAAACATATTCACATGTGCAAATAGATGCGTATTCACATGGTGCAAATAAATTCGTATTCACATGTGAAAATACATCAGATTATACATGAAATTACAAACATATTTGCACATGTGAATTTAAAGCAAGATTTACACATGTAACTAAATTTGAAACAAAACAATAATAATTTATAATTTTTTAACACATAAAAAAGAATATTTTTTAAAAGTATAATTCTGCATTTATAAATCATCTTTAAAATTAAGGAGTCAACGATTGCACGTGTATTAACATACGTAAATACACTATTAATTACACAGCTATTTATATCTGTATCTATTTCTATTGTTGTACATGTGTATCTACGCATGTAATTATGAGTATGTTTATAATATAAATAAGAATAAATAAAAAGCGTAAATACGAAACTAAGTGCAGAGGTATAAATACAGATATAAAAACCGTTTATAAAACCGATTTTATACTCAGAAGAGTTATTCTACAATTTTCCTGTTCTCCAATAGAACAATTGAGAAAACCCAATAGAGAGGTGGTCCAGAAAAATGTTAGTACTCCTATAATTTCAAGCCGTTCAGTAAACTAAATTTTTATTTATTTATTTATTTATTAAAATGAAATGAAAATAGACTAAAAATAAATAAAAATAAAATTTTTATTTATTTACTTATTAAAATAAACTAAAAATAAATTAAAATTATTTATTTCTATTTGTTTATTTATTAAAAAAAATAAAAAATCACATTTAAATATATTTTAGAAAAAAAAAATTTTTTACTGTATTTTTTTTTTCATAAGTTTAACAAAATCAAAAGAGCGCAAATAAACAGGTAGATTTAGATATTTTTTTAAGGTATTCTCGTAAAGAGAGAAAATAAATTTAAATAGAAATTTTTTTTTTAAATTATTGAAGGACATTTTCTTTTTGCATTTTAAAAATTGTAATTTACAAATGACCTTTAAATGTCTTTTGAAATATTCGAGGGTACATACTGCCAATTTTATGTAGCGTAGGTGCGCATTTTCTGCGGCGCCTGGACCACCCCACCTTTTGAACCCATGGGTTCTGTCTATAAAAGCTTTCGTAGTTACGATTTCATCTTGAGTTCAGATACGAATCCTTCGTCATTGTTCACCAAAGAAAAAAAAATTATTTTTTTGAATTTTTAATTTCGTTCATATAAGGTGAAATATTAATAAAGAGTGTTCTTAACGTAAAAAAGTGTAGAAAATTTTTCCCTAAAAGGAAAATTAATTTTTTTTTTCTGAGGTGCGATATTAGTGGTTTATTATTGGCGTCTTTTTGGGGAGAGATTTATATTTTCTTCAGTGTTACGTCCTCTGCTGATGAACTTCTTGGTTTTTTTTTTAAATATTGTTTCAATTCTTCTGCTTTTATGTATGATTTTTTTTCTTTTTTTTTCTTTCTTCACTTTTTGAATATTTTGTCTGCTTGCTTTTATTTTCTTGTCTATTTTTTTTTGTTTTTTCTTTTGATTATATATTTTTGAGTTTAAAAATTTTCTTTTAGTTCAATTCATTATATTTTATAATTTTTTTAATTTAAATTTTTTTTGAGTTTCTTTGTTTTACAATTTAAATTTTTTTTTTTTGGTTTCTTTGTTTTACAATTTAAATTTTTTTTTGAGTTTCTTCGATTTACAATTTTTTAAATTTTTTACCTTCGTTTCGTTGTATTTGATTATTTGAATTTTTATTCTCTTGAATATTTATTTTCTTTCTCTTTTTGACTGATTGCTGAATTTCTTTATAAAAATTTCCATCTTCCGCTTGATTTAAAAATTATCTAATTATTTAATTAATAAAAATTTAATAATAATTATTTAATTTTATTTAAAATTATTCTTCTTTATTTTCTTTTGAATTTTCGTAGCTTTCTTGATTTTTTCATTTCTAAATCTTTTATTTTCTAAATTTTTACTTTTTTTTATTATTATTTTTATTCATTTTGTTTTTCTTGTTCTTTTGAATTTTTCGTTTATAAAAAATTACAAAATATTCACTAAAAAAAATTTTCCTTTTGCTTCTTTTTTTTAAATTTTGCATCTAATTTTTTCGCAACTTTTTCAATTTTTTTACTTCTTTTTTATTTCTTTTATAATTAATTTTTTCATTAATTTTTCTAAATTTTCATTTTTCGCATCTTACTTTCTATCTTATAATTTTTTGTTGAATTTCTTAATAAATTTTTCATTTCATTTGCTTGCTTTTATTTTTTTTGTTATTGTGTTTCTTTTAATTTTTCCAAAACACAACAAATTATTTAATTTCAATTATTAAAAACTAATTTATTATTAATTTCAAAAGTTAATGAAATTTTTTTTTATTGCAAATTTAATTTTTTCAATCGACTATTTTTTAAGTATAACAAAAATTTTTTCTAAAAAAAATTTTGAAAAATAAGTTTAAATTTAAATCTGTTTTATATTTTCAAAATTCTAATATTAACTTTATGTTTGTTCAACAATATTAGAAAAAAATACATCACAGGAAGTGTTTAAAAAAACGCTTTACCTAAAGTTCAATATTTCAAATACAAAGAGAGAATAAAAATTATATTTCAAAGTAAACATTTTTTTAAAAAATCACCATTTTTGTTATGATTTAGTTTTTAAAAATTGTGTTTTAAAATCTGTTTTATATATTTTTTAAATTTAAAAAATCAACAATATTTAAAAAAAAACGCTTTACCTAAATTTCAATATTTCAAATACAAAGAGAGAATGAAAATTAAATTTCAAAGTAAATATTTCTTTGAAAAAAATCATCATTTTTGTTATGATTTAGTATTTAAAAATTGTGCCTACGTTATTGACAGGTTTTTTAATTGTTAGAATTATTAAATCGAATTTTTAATAAACTGTTTCTCTTTTAATCAAAATTTCTTACAGGAAGACATAAAAGGAATTCTACACTTTTTTAAAAAGTAAATTCAAATAGAAACTAATTTTAATTATGACTGCATTAAATTTAATTAACATATAATTACTGAAAATCCTCTTTGTTTCATTTAAATAAATTGTTCAAAATTTATAATATGTCATATTTTGAAATTGAATTTTTTAAAAAATAATTTTAAAAAAATGTAAAAATCTGGATAATTATTTTTTTAATAAAAGACTACATTTTTTTTTTGAAGAAATAAAATGTTTTAAATTATTTTTATTTGTTAAAAATCTATATCACTTATTCAGTTACAATTTTTCTACTTTAGTAAATAAAAATATTTGTATCAAAGAAATTAAAGAAAAATTGTTTCCCTCTAACTTTGTTTTAAAAAATAAAAAATATTTTTTTAAACAGAAAATAAAAATTTTTTTTGTTGAAAATATCGACCTTTCTTTGTATGAATTGAATTTTTGTTTTGCATCAAATATACATCAAATATTGATGCAATCAGTTTTTGAAGTCAAAGGATGACGTTTGCGTGGCTCAGGAGACTTTCTCAATCTGAAAGTATAGAAAACTTTTCTCTTAATGCAGACAGTGCGATTTTTCCATAGGCTTTTATTTAAAAAAAATGCAGTCTTATAAATCTTATAAAAAATTTTTCTATAAAAATTTTTTTTATAGAAACTAAGCAACATAATACGTACGAACAAATGGAATTTATTTTCAATAAAAATATATTTTCTAACAAAAAACATATTTTTATTTACAAGTTATATTACAATTACTAGAACAATTACAATTATTAATAATTTTAGTAAATAAATAATTAAATTAGCTTCGAAATATTTTATATATTATAATTATATTCAACTTGGATTTTATTCTGCTTTTCTAATTAGAATTCTCATAAAGTTGAAATGTATCGTAAAGGGTTGTGAATAAACTGCGTGAAAACGTTGGTTATAATTTTATCAAATCGAAAACATAATTACTTTCTTATTTTTTCACTTTGATGATTGAAATTAAATTTTTAATGCTAAGAAAATAAATAAATTTTACATTTAATATTACAAAATCTTACATTTATTCTTACATTTAATTAAGTATTTCTACCTTTTCTTACCTTTTATTATTAAATTCAGAAATATGTCTATTAAATATTATTTTATATTATTAAAAGAATTTAATATTAAATTTAAATTTTTTAATTTAATTTAAAAAATATTATTATTAATAATTTATATTAATAATAATCGTTGTATTCCGGTAATCTGTTCGCAGTTTGAAGTCAGTTGTTATTTGCTTTTTTGTTTTTTTAAATTTGTTTTTTTGTTTTTTTAAATATTTTAAATTTTAAAATTAATGTATTGAAAAACATCGAATTGTTGCAAAAAATTTTATCAAAACATTGGATAATAATAGAATTTCTTAGAAGAATTTTATTATTTGGGAAAATAATTGAATTCTCGTGAATAATTATGTTAAAATTTTTGAAAATTCTAATTAAATTCATTATAAAAAATTAAAAAAATTTTTTTTAAAATAATGGAATTTCTTCAAAATTATTAAAAATAATTGAATTTTTTAAACAATTTCTGTCAAGTTTTTAAAATAATCCTGTTTGTTAATAATTGAAATTAAACATTTGATTATTTAATTTTATTAAAATTTTAGAAAACAATTGAATTCTTTTGAAAAATTTTATAACGAATTAAGAAAGAAAATAGAGTTTTTACGTGAAATTTTTTTTTGAAAATAATTAAATTTTTGCAAAAAATATTACTATTTATAAATATAATTGAATTGTTTTAAAGGATTTAAAAAAGTTTAGGAAATTATTGAATATTTTTGAAATATCTTATAACGAATTAAGAAAAAAATTGAATTTTATTAAAATTTTAAAAAATAATTGAATTGTTTTAAAAAATTTTATAGGTAATTAATAAAAAAATTGAATTCTTTCGTGAAATTGTTTTGAAGATAATTAGATTTTTGCAAAGAATTTTAGTATTTATAAATATAATTGAATTGTCTCGAAAGACTTATTAAAAGTTTAGAAAATAATTAAATACTTTTGAAATATTTTATAACAAATTAAGAAAAAATAGAATTCTTTCGTGAATTTTTTAAAAAATAATTTAATTTTTCCAAAAAATTGTACTATTTATAAAAATAATTGAATTCTTACGAAAAACGTTGTTATTTATGAAAATAATTGAATTCTTGTAAAGAATTTTATTAACATTTTTGATATTAATAAAAAAGAACAATTAATTAGTTAATTAGTTAATAGTTGAATTTTTTAAAGTTTGAATCTGTAATTATTCAAAAATTTATAGTTATTTGAAAATAAAATTTTTTTTAATTTTCAAAATAATAATAATAATAAATTGAATATCACGTTTTGCACGTTAGCGCGCGTAACATTTGCTAGTTAATAATAACAGATATTAATAATAAGCAAATTTGTAAAAAATAAATAAATAATAAAATAATAATAATAAACATAAATAATAAAGAAATTGTTAAAAAAACAAATAATAAAATAATATTAATAAATTAAATATTAAGTAAATATATTAAATATGAATAATTTATAATAAAAATAAACAATTGCTAATTTTTAGTAATTTATTTTAATGCTGCGTTTAAATAAATGTTTTTGGTAAAAGATTTCTCACTATTGGGTTAAATGTTACGTCCAGTTTAAACAAGATTTTATTTTACAATAATTTTTATGGTTAAAAATGAAAAATTTAAATTGTTTAGAATATATGAATATATTAATTTATATTTTTTTAAACATTGACGAATATATTTACATAGCGTATGTTTATAACTTATTTAATATCATATTTATTATTTTTTTTGATTTTAGACTAAAAAAAAGGTGAAGAAGAAATGACATTAAATATGCGAGACAGTAACGGTGTGGTCGCAACGAAGAATTCGTATTGTCTGACGGGTGTAACATGGTCCTTTATCTTCATGTTGGTTTTCTGTTTCGCCAGTTGTGCTGCAGGTAGGACAAGTAATCTCAAATTTTGACAAACAAACAAATTCATTTCAACAAAGCAAAATTATTAATTTGATGTACGCAATTATTAACTTTAAGAAAATTATATATTCTGTAAATATAACATCCACCTGATTATGATTTAAAAGTGAAGATTCCATTCTTGCTGTTTGGATGTCCTTTAGTAAAAATTCTTTCTCAAAAGTTTTAGAAAGTAAAAAAAAAATTATACTCCTCAAATTATTTTGTTTCATTTGATTAAAAATTAGTTTAATTATTTCTTATACAAAGTGAAAATAATTTTGAAGAATATTGTAAATAGTTAAATGTTGTAATTAATTAAAGTGTAGTGCTATCTGGGGATTCGAAATATTTTACTCGACTTCTTGTTCGTTAAAAAGACCATTCCAATCTTATTCCGGAATGGAAATTAGAATGTACCAGCAACTACTCATTAATTACATGTTTCTTCGGGGGAAAAAAATGATTGAAATCACTTTTCCAGTAATTGCAATGGGACATTGCTAATTAAAATTAGAAAATCTATGTATCTGACAAAATCAAAATGACTACCTTTTCTTTGGAATGACGTTACCCTTTTTTTAAAAAAACCAATAAATTTTTTAAACAATCCTTTATTCGATTTCAAAAAAAGAAATAAATTTTTGGTTTAAAAAACATTTTTTTTTCCCTCTAAATTACAATCTCGTTGAATATAGGTTTTTACTTGTTAGCCAATTCCCATCGGGCACCTGTTGATTATTGGTTGAAGAATATCTCCGAACAAGAAAAAGCGCTTCGCCTTTGATAACGAAAAGAGTCTATAAAGAAAATTGAATACATCCCACAGTGGGCACTACTTCATAATCTGAATTCATCATTTCCCTATCAGTCTATAATATACATAAAAAAAATTTACAATGAATCTTTATGCATAATTCTTATTTTATGAAAGAAATATATTACTATCGAACAGAGAGGATTAAAATGAAATTTAAAAATGGAATTTAAAAATTAAATTTCTTGAGAAAATTTATAAAAAGTCAGTAAAAAAAATAGAAGTGTTTCTTAATTGCCCATCTGTCTTTTTAGTTTTTCTGAATTATTTTTCTGCAACTAAAATAATTAGAATAATTATTATTTATAATAGTACTATTTACAATAGAAATTATTGCAATATTACACGATTGAATTAGAAAAGATTTTGGTAAAAATAAATTTAAATTGATTAACTTTTATCCGAATGCAAATCACTTGAAAAATTACAAATATTAAAAGTTTAGACGCTTAATAATAAAATGGAAACTTTTCTTTAGAGCTTTCAAACTTTATTCACTTCAATTAGTAATTGATAAAAGTGGAGAATTCTCTGGGATATTGTGGTTTGAATACATTCTGTAAATGGATACTGTTAGGCGTACAATATATAAATGGAAGAAAAGGAAAAAAAGCAATACTTGAAAAAATGGAAATTATAATTAAATATGAAATTAAAATACCCATAAGAGTTATAATTTTATTCTAAATAAAAACATACACTTTATTTGTATAATTGCATTGAGTCATTCACTTTAAAGTTAATTGAATAATAATCATTAATTTCTATTTGAGTTTCAGGTTCTTGTTTGAGCTATGGGCACTCTTGTTGGGGTGGTGAGTTCTTTATGATTTTCTATTTTGATAAAGGAATTTAATAAAAAGAGTTTTAAAATTATAAATTATTACATTCTTATTTTTTAAAAGATACTATATTCTAAATGAAATCAAATAAAGTAAAGCTTATTTACAGTTATGAATTTCATAATACCAAAGATATACGAATTTGCAAAAAAAAAATTTACAGCTCACGGAAAGCGGAGTGGCAGTAATTTTGGTTCGAATAACTTACGAGTAAACGAAGATAACAAAAATATTGTTTTACCATTGGTAAACGATCAGTGGATGTTGTCTCCATTGATTAATAAACGACATCCGATGCCGTCGACTGGAAAATATCGAGTTAGATGGATGAATATATTCAAGGGTAAAAGTTTGCCTCGCGACTGGGATAGTAACGAATCAATTGCTTCGAAGGAGGAAAATGATATTACGAGGTAAAGAGCATATCGAAGTATTTAGATTTAAACTGAGATATAAAAATATCGAACAAGATATATTCGCATATATTGATAATATTTATTTCCCGATAATAGTTATATTATTAATTTTTGAATTAAGGTCGTCATTAGACGGTCTGAACATAGAAGGATTCCTAAAATCATTGCTCAGGAGTTTTTGGGGTCTCTGATTTTGAATCTGAAGTTAAATTTTTAAAACTCAAAATGATGGCAGACTGTTGGATTTCTAAGAAACTTGGTATTAGGCGGTTTTTAGGATCCCTGATTACGAATCTAATTATGAATAAGATATCAGACTTGAAGTAATAAAAGCAGCGGACCTGATAATGATGATCATAAATATTGAAAATTAATCGAATTCATTGTCTGGGGTTTTCGAGATCGATGGAATGCATCTGATTTGAAATATTCAAAATTTCAAAATTAAGAATGACGTATTCAATAGGGTGTTTGATTTTTAAAAATCGGTATAATCAGATTCGTAAATAAGGACCCGAAAAATTGCCAAATACCAAGTTTCTCAGAAATCCAACTGTTTTTAAAATTCTCGTCCGTCATGCTGTTAAACGCCAAAAAAAAACACCAGTTTTCCAGAATGTTTTTTTAATGGAAGGAAAGGGAATACAATTATAATAATGTAGTATGTTATTAGTCTTATATTGAACTAAAAAATTTAAATTTCCAACAAAAAAAAATTGCAAAGTTACAGACTTTTTAATAAATTGTTTTTTTAAGAGCTCCGCGGCACGCAGCACACAGAGTGCAAAATTGAATCTAGAACAAAATAAAAAAAAAATTTTCTTGATCTGCATGAGAATAACTAGAAAAACACGTAGGAGTTTTTAAAAATATTGATTTTTGTGTAATTGGCAAGCATTTGAAAAAAAGACTCATTTTTCGACCAAAAAAGCCCCTGTGCGCAGGAAGAGCACACAAATTATATATATATAATTACAAAAACGTTAAAATATTTTCAGGCACATAAATTTTGGATTGCCCAGTGATCAGAATGAGAGATTTGTGAAAAATACCGAAAGTAGTGAGGAATCAAAGGAATCAGAGGGAATTGTACACGAGGCGACGGAACCATTTGTCAATGACGATAGTGAAGAAATTATTTTGCTTCCCAAACATCGGGAGACAAATGACAATTCAAGACAATTTAGATTCATGAAAATAATGGTAACTAGATTTTTTATAAATATTATTCATTCAAAGTCGAAAAAAAAATCCTACAACAAAAAGTTAATTTTGCAATTGGTATTAAAATAAATAATAATATTTAATTATTTTTTTCAGCGCAACAGGAATGCTTAATAAAAACATAGTCCTCTTATTCTATAAAATAATTAGATGCTGAATAATTCTTTAAGTCAGCGGGGAAAAAGGGGTGGGGGGGGGTTGGGCCAGATAAATTGTTTCCAACTGGTTCTTTAAAGAAAAAAGAGTAATGATTTTTTGCAAAATTTGAAAAATTCTACAAAACGCGACAAAAAAGGGGAAAATATGATTAAATAATGACAAAAAAAAATTAATTAACTTGTAGACTCTTTAAGAAAAAACTCTCTTTGGACTGATACTTAAGAATCTTTTAAATATAAAAATATATAATTGCGAGGAGATATAAAAAAAAGTCTCTAAATGCACGTACTATCATCATAAGTCGTTTCACGATACTCTCTAAATTATTAAATATTTTTCTATTATTTAAAAACTATGTTTTTTTCCTTTCCCTAAATTTATTATTTATTTTAGAATTTAATTTTTATTGATATATAACATGTCATTTTTATCTTATAAATAAATATATACATATATACATAGAAATTACTGTTACTGTTGAATAAATAAAATTTTAAGAGATTATATAATTATTTTATTCTGTTTAATAAGAAAAAAATATAATTATTTTCACTAGAAATTTTTTTATATAAGTATAAATCCTACTAAATATATATTATTTTTGTAAAAAAAAAAGATTGTAACATTTAATTTCAAATTTTCTATTGGTTGTCAACGAAAAAAAAAAAATTGTTAATTAACGACGTGTGTGGAAAAAAATTGGATTTATTAGCTAAATTTAAATTTATTATATTATACATATGTAATGATGAAAATGAAACCTGTTACAATTAATATGAAAATTATTTGTATGTTGGAAATTTTCTTTTCTTAAAGTTTCTACGTCACAAAATAAATATACAATAAATATTCGAATGAATAATGAAAACATATTTGAAAAGAAGTTTATTCTTTTTTTCCCTCGAAAATTTAATTTTTTAATCAGGTGGAGTTTCTTTATCTCTGCGAGTCAAATTATTTATTAATTAATTAAATTTTATTAATTTAAAATTAATTATTAATTAATAATAATTAATTGTAATTTGACTCTAAAAGTTTGATAAACTCCGTCTAATACTAAATTACTAAGTGCTAAAGAACAAAACAAATTTTTAATTCTTTTAATGTCAGATCAATCGGATAAATAAAAAAAGTTTTTTTCTCAAAAAAATTAGATATTTAGTTTTGTTTTATTATATTCTTTAGTTAAAAATTTAATTTTATTTAATTAATTAAAAATTTTTCTATTCACATATGTTATAATTTTTTGCATAAATAATGAATTTGTGGAACAATTTTTATATTTTACCACAAAAGTTATGATTTTGTAAAAAAAAGATTGTATAGTTATCTTCCAAAGGTAAATAAAATTATCATCCCAATACCGACAGATGAAAATGTACCAGAAGAGAAAATTTTCAATTTCTGCCATATCGACAACAAAATATTATCTGTTGAAGATAAATGTAAATATTGCTACTATTTTCTGTAATTATTTCGATTTTTTAATAAAATTGTCATCAATTTTATTTTAGTGACATCTTTTCTTGCAATTTATGAATTATTATTATTTATTTCCTCAGACTTTATTTCTGAATTTCTACAATAATGATTAGTCACTTTCAATGATTGTAGAATTCCACTTTAATTTTTTAAACTATTTTAAACTATTTTTTAAAATTATAAAAATTTTAAAATAGAAATCGACATAAATCTTATTTTCTTTAGGTTGGTAGAAAGGAAAATCGTAGAGCAATGCGGTGTAATTTACAAACATTCCTAACTTTAACATTTCAATACAATAATTTAATCCCTTTTAATCCTCTAAGTAATTCGCCTAATTTCAATTTCTGTGGCTAAAATATTGATTATAGGATAATCAGTCTCACATTAATTGGTATATTAATTATTGGAAATTAACACAATATTTCTAAACTGGACATTTAGTATTTGAGGTTATGTGTTGAATATTATCGCGACAATATCAAGTAATCTCTTAATATCTCTAAAGAACTGAACATTAAATTAATGATAGTAAAAAACTAACTTACTGTAAAAAAAATTATTTAAAATTCTCTTTTTACCCTGCCACTGACTATCCCTAACCACCTTAAAACTTTTTACTGATTTATAATTAAAAATAAAATACTCGTATTCTCCTGACTTTTTCTGACCATAGTTAAAGAGAACAACGGAGTTTCTAAGTTCATATTTGTTATTAGCGACCTTAAAACCATAAAAAAATGTTAATTCTGAAGCATTTTGACATTTTATTAAAAAAACATGGCGAATTTATATTTCTAAATTTTTTCAATAATTCAGGCATCGAATTCGTATTCAGCATAAAAAACTACGTAAAAGTATAGTCGATACAGACAATGATTTCAACGCTTTTGTGTTATCAGTACGAAAACTAATTTTCTTCAGTCAAATTCCAACTTTGCATAATTTTTTTTATATAGGTTAAAATATTTTCTAGGAGTTTCTCCGCATTTTTTCCATAACCCATAGAGACTCAGCTTTTATGTCCAATTTTTTCAAAATAAATTATATCAACTCTGTCAAGAGTTTTACGATTTTGTCACAAAAATAAAATTTTCCACAAGGTCGGGTGCGAACCAAGCAACGCTTACCATTCGAAACGGTTTCCTTCTTTTTTATCGTCGAATCTCAATCATGTCAAAAAAAAAATTGTGTCACTGTCCTAGGGTAAGCGTCTTTTTACACAGAACAAGAAACAGTAGTGAAACGTATTATTTCCAACAACCACCATCATCATCGACCATGATCTATATCTTGCATACACAAGAAATAAAAGAAAAAGACTCTCTCTGAGATGTATATATATAAAATAATGAAATCCATTATATCCGGAGGCTGAGCGATAACGGAGCGGCGTCATAAATGAAAGTTGTGAGCTTTGCAATTTTGTTCTCGAGGGAAGACGGTATTACCCGATAGGCTAGCTTTCGGAGCGGGGTGTCGGTTGGATAAATCTTGTGCAAAACCTACTCATAGATATTATCACCCCTGATACGTGACGAGTTCAAAGAACCAAGAAGTTGGGACATCCCGAGACATACTATATATGCCAGGCACTTTGTACCTATAGGGAAAAGGAGGAGTGTTAAAAATCGTTCAATCAATTTCTAGATGTTTATTAGTACAAATTATGTAAAAAAAGAAGATAGATGGAAGGTTTATTGGTTTGAGTCTAAATATTATTATAATTAATTAGTTTTTCTGTTTTTAAGGCCTAGACTTTTAGGTACATAAAACTTTGATGTAAACATTGACACTTTTTAGGTCCATGTCCATGATCAGACTTGAACGTGTTCAAAATAGATTTCTAAGATTTGCTGCAAGATTGCTTAACATTCCTTTTGATTTTCATACACATGACCGAGAATTAAACAAGTATTAAACTTATTCCCAAAAAAAGAAAGAATAATTAATTATAAAACTTTTTATCACTATAACTAAATGTTATTAAATAGATAGAAAGAAAAAAGACAGACCTACTCCTTAGTACGGGTATTAAGGAACTGAGAGTGGACATCGAGCGAACGTGGCTTATATAGTGCCGAGGGAGGGAGCAACCGCCAATCACCGCGCGCGAGTCTCCCCTCCACTCGCTACTGCCGATATAAAAGTACCGATTCCGCTTTCTTGCGATCAGTTCCAGTCGAACGCTGATGAGTAACGGATGAAAAAATATCTAACCCTTTTACTTTTTAATAACAGGATTTTTAGGAAAGGAACCATGTTTCTTATATGAAACGAGTAGATATGCAAATTAGGTAAAGAAAGACATTCTTATTCATCTTTATTTTGAAAAGAGGAACAAAGAAATGTTATTAAAGATTATTAGTATTAACATTATAAAAAATTATTATTTTCATTGAATCCACAGAGATGGAAATGCATTAGATTTTCAACATTATAATAAATCAATTTCTGTTATTTGTCTAGAAAAGAAGAATCAAGAATCTTTCCTCTTCTCACAAACATAACGAAATAGTAAATTTAAACTAAAAAAACATTAGAATTAAACAAACTTTTTCAAAAATTAATATTAAAGTAAAATTAAGAAAAAGGATTTTCCAAAAAACAATTTCGAAAATGGTAGCAGATGTTTAGTAGTGTCTTCTTTTCTGCAAATTGAATTTGTGAACTTGTATTTGAACAGGAAAGTACGTGATGTACATTATATCCTGAGAAATTGTAAATTGTAGTTAAAAACAAAGGCGCAACATATATTTGAGAACGTGTTTTGCACTTTCGATGCATTATTTCGTTATAGTTTTCAAGAGAGCAACATCATCATTATTTGTTGGATTTTTGATATATAAAATTTATAAATACATGTATATACGCGGATATGAAATTCAGAAAATGCATTGTTCTCGCTTCGATTCTTTCATCTCAGCTGATCCTATATCGGCACTTGACTCCTACATATCAGAACTCTCAATTTTCGCCAAATAGACATATTTCCTGTATCATTCGCGTCATATCAGTAGAATGCATTGCCAAAGTCCCTTAAAAATCAATATATTCTTTAAAAAAAAAACGTTCACATAGACTTTGAATTCTTGTTATATTTTCTGGAAGGAAACCACATTTGAGTGTTTTTAAGAATTTTTTTTAAAGGGAAGAAATTATTTAAATTTTAATTAGCAACTTAGAAGTTTTATCTAAATTGATTTTTCCTCTTAAAGGGTCATTATTTTCACAAAGAAAATGTATTTCTACTTGTTTCTTATTAAAGTATATACAGCATCTCAGAAATTTTCTTCTGAAACTTTGAATATTTGACGGAAATTGAAAAATAAATTGCAAAAACCAATAGCTAGGAGAACTAGGTGATAACTTGTTACGCGGGAGGTAAGAATTCTTTGCCGACAGCAACAATGTGACATATTGGACTTTGGCGAGTTCACTGTTTTTTTTAGCATCATTCTCTTGCAAATTTGCATTTCACTATTTTGCATTAGCTTCGAATGCAGTTTAGCACTCCTTAGAATATTTATTATAAATAATGAAAATTAATTTTTATTTCTAATTTATGAAAATCTTTTCAATTCACTTATAATTATTAACAAAGAAGAAAAATATTTTTTTTAATAATCAATTTACGATTAGATTTCTTGCATTGAATCGTTGTTAATCTATATGATGTCTGCGGATGGAAATTAAACGGAGCCTTCTGTAATTGAGGCATTCATTGATTACTGATTAGTCATTTACAGCGTTTGAATGCGACCAATATAACAAAGGAATTATTTAATAATAAATTTAAATCGTACATTACAACGATATTCATTGATTGAAAATCAAGTATTAATAGTAGTAAAACTGTTATTAAAAGCTTGTATTAATTTCTTTTTTAGTATGCTAATTATTATTATTTTTAGACAAATTTTGTCAAGTTCAGCTAGCTTCTATCTTCTTGATAATTATTTAGATACACAAAGTAGAATATCATTAAATTTTATATTAATAAAAGCAGCAACAACAATTTTTCGTTGCAGCCATGTAATGATATGATTTTTATTTGCTGAGAATTTGTTCGCTGGATGGAGTCCGGGTTCCCTTAATTTAATTAAATTTTATTTATTAACTGCGTGAAGCGACATGTAGATTTAGTTTTATATTTAATTTTTTCATATAAGCAAGATGGTACCTTATCTAAAAATCCTGTTATTAAAAAGTAAAAATTTGGTTAGATATTTTTTCATCCGTTATTCATCAGCGTTCGACTGGAACTGATCGCGTGAAAGCGGAATCGGTACTTTTATATCGGCAGTAGCGAGTGGAGGGGAGACTCGCGCGCGGTGATTGGCGGTTGCCCCCTCCCTCGGCACTATATAACCCACGTCCGCTCGATGTTTGTTCTCAGTTCATTAATACCCGCATTAAGAGCAGGTCCTTCGTTTTCTTTCTGTCTCAATTTAATAATATCTAGTGAAAATTTCTTTCTCACTTCCTCTATTCTAGACAAATAACATAAATTGGTTTTTTTTATATCAGAACTATTATTATTATTACTATTTTTATTGTCACTCTTGTTAATATTTATTATTATTATTATTAATATTATTATTATTTTAAAGTAACTGTTCTAATTAATTTAATCATAAACGAATTAGAAATTATTTTTTAATTTTTCCATTCGCGTTGGCTGTTTCGTTAAAAGAATCATGTTGACATTCATCATGAAGGATAGTTTCGTAGTAAAGTTCCTGTAGTATTTATATTTTAAAGTTACACATACTCAGAATGCGCGGATTCATTTAGGAAGTAAACACTTTGCCAATTAAATTTTTAAGCAAATTGCACGAGTAACATTGGTGGAATGTTTTTCTTCCATCGCCTTTAATTAGAATTGACTTCAAGAAACTCGGGAAATCCAATAATTAAGTGCGATTAAAGATGCCGATTCACTTCCATTTTACCTTGTTTCCAGCATTATTAAATTCACGAAATTTTTGAAAATACACGTAAATAAAATTATTATTAATAGGTACATAATAACAATAGTTAATAAATAATTATAAAAATAATAATTAAAATGTCAACAATAAAAATAGAAGTTCAAATTGTATTATTTTTAAAATTACTTAATTTTATTTAAAAAGGTAGTAAGAAGTAAAGTTGTTGCTATAGTGAATTTTAGAAAATGAATATTAATAACAATATTTTTAATCACATATGACTTTTAGAAAATTAAAGTTCGAAATTTTATATCAACTCCCGAAAAGTTTAATGATGCGGAAATTTTTTAACATTCTGAATATGAAATTTCCAAATTATCGTGTATAGTGGGTTAGAAGTGAATTTTACACGCTTTATTCAATTATAATGTCCATCAAGAAAATTTCATTAAATGATAGTTGCAACAGTTTAAATTTGTAGCAGATCTCTTCAATTAATATGTGAATTTAATTCCTTTTACTATTCTCTAAATAATTATTTTGGTAATAAAAAAATCGATTTTCGAATTACAAAAAAATAGTTCGACAATACTCTATTGTCAACTGTATTATTAAATTTATTATTAAAGTTGTTGAAAATTTTTTTTGAAATCAGTATCCAGAGAAAAAATTAATTATTACATTTGTTAATGTTTAACTATATTTTTTCGTTTATTAATAAAAAATTGTTATATGACATTTTGTTTTAATTAAAGTATTCAATATTTTAATCAATTAATGCTCTGCTTGCTTGTAATGTTACTATGTATATGGATTGGCGTTTATGAATCAGGACTGTTGACGATAGCCTCCGGTGGCTCCGGTGTTTTGAAACAAAATAAATTCAATTCAGTTCATGCCGAGGAGCTTGTCAATGAAACACATTGCATTTCCGTCTATGTTTGTATACAGGAAAAATATTAAAAATATTTAAAAAGGATCAAAATATAGTCTTAATGATGGTTGGATACTTATAACTTTTATGATTAGAGACAAAACTGATAGATTACTCTTCTGTTAAGGTCACAATGCCTATAGATAAAAACTAGAGGCCCGAAGGCAGTGCAGAAATATTTATAAAGACAATAATTGAAAACTGCAAACTTCTTTAAAAGTTTCTTTTCAAGTAATTTTAAGAAAATTAACAATATATTTCTTGTCGAAAGTTATAATTCAGTTACTTATTGTGTTCAAGGAAAAAAAAAATATCAGTCTACATTTACCTTTTTGACACAAAATGACTAAACTGTTTGACAATCGTTATTTTTATTTGATTAAATTTTTGTTGACATGCCTCGGCCAATGGCCTTTTCATAATCAAAAGCGAAATCATTGCATTCAGTGGTTCATAATTTTAAATCTGTCAATGTTTAATATAACTTTGGTAATTTTCTTTTTCATATTCAACTAATATAGTTAGAAAATGAAATAGATTTAATCTTTTTACAGACTTTGCACTGGATAATTAATTTTAAAAAAGTAGCTTTCAAACTAAAAAAATAGCAAAAAAGTCTTTCTTATCCAATATGCTAATAAATTGAATTCTTGCAACGAATTTTATTATTCATGAAAGAATTTAAATATTTATAAAAATACTTTAATTGTTGCGAAGAGTTTTATAAAAAGTTTTAAATACTTGATTTATTTCAAATTATTTTTATGAAAATTCAAATTTAAATAATTGAATTCCGGAAAAATTTTTATTATTCATGAAAAAAATTGAATTATTCTTACAAGGATTTTCACAAAAAATTATTTAAATAATTGAATTCTATTTGAAATTTTCATGAAAATTGTAGATATTGAAAATGATTGAATTGCAAAAAGTTTTTTAAAATAATTAAATTTTGATAAAAGAATTCTGTTAAAACTTTTTAAAATAATTTAATTCTTAAAAAATTTTAATAAAAAAACATTTTTTAAATAATTGATTTTTTCGAGGAATTGAAATTAAATTTTTAAGAACAAATACAATTTTTATAGCAACTCCTGTAAAATTGTATTAAAAATAAATAAAATCCTGTGATGATTTTATTATTTATAAAAATAATTGAATAGTTTTAAAGAATGTAAAAGAAATTTTTTTTAAATAATTGAATTCCTGAGAAGAATTTTATTATTTTTTATGAAAATAATTGAATTATTGCGAAAAATTTTATTAAAATATTTAAAAAGAATTGAATTTCTGTGAAAATTTTTTTTATTTTTGAAAATAATTGAATTCTTTGTGAAAATTTTATAAACATTGTTTTAAAAAATTTATTTTATTTGAAATATAATAAATATTGCAAAAATAATAATAAATTCTTTTTGAAAAGTTTATTTGTGAAAATAATTGAATTTTTCGATTAATTAATTTTGAAATGGTATTAAAAATAATTGAATTTCTTCCATGAGTTTTATTATTTATGAAAATAATTGAATTCTTGCTTAGAATTTTATCAACAAATTTTTTAAAATATTGAATTTCCATAATTGAATTCCTGTGGAAATTTGATTATTTATGAAAATAATTGAATTTCGGATGAATTTTATCAATTTTTTTTTTAATAATTAAACTCTTTTGCGAAATTTTATGAAAATACTAGATATTGAAATTTGAATATTTTTTGAAAATAATTTAATCGTTTTAAAAAATTTGATTATAATTTTTGAGAATAGTTTTTTGATTTCTAGTATTAGCGAATTTAAAGTAGTGCTAATTCTTAAAGAAATCAGAAATAGTGGCTTTTAGTGGTTGAAATCTAAAAAAAGTACCCAAATAGTAGAATGGTAGATTTTAAATAGTAGGTTTTAGTAGATGAGTGCAAAGCCTGTTTTATCAAAAATCTCAAATGTTGTCTTTTTTCAGCTATATATACATGATAATAATTTATAAATTATAATTGTTATAAAATAATAACTTTTTCCTTTAGTCGGCAGGTTGCTTTCTAGTATGGGGTAATACGGAAAAAGTGATCGAGTGTATTGCAGTACATTCTACAGCACTCATTGTTCTTTGTATAGTTGTTATTTTCTTTTTTAAAGAGAAAAAGGTGAATATTTACTTGTGGACATTTTTTTCATACTCCTAAGTTTTAGTTCTGAAAATAAAATAATTAAGAACTGAGAAATTAAAAACTAAATTAGAAAATACCGACTGTTTTCAAAATATACTGTATATTCTTTTTGTATATAGATTAAAGAATTATTCATTGAACTGGAATCTATTTGGAAATTTTGGTCATCTGTTCAGGAGAAGAAAATTATTTCCACCCACGCCAATTATGGAAGACTTGTTACTATTTTCTGTATAGGTCACTTTTTTATTTTCTTCTTCTACTTTCTAATCCGAAAAATTACAATAATAATAATTTACTAATTTAGAAAAATTATAATTTTTCAAATAGATAATTTTTAAGCCCTTTTTTATAAGCTCTATATTTTCAATTAAATCTTAACACGGTTGCCACAAGATTTACAAAAAAAAAAATTGAATAAAAGGAAAAAATTTAATTTTTCAGGATGTCTAATTGGATGTTTGATTTGTTATATAATACCACCGATAATTCCACAGATTCTTAATATTATTGTTCCTCTAAATGAATCAAGACCAAGGGATTTACCATTTCCAGTGTATTACTTTGTTGACTATTCTGAAGATCATTTTTATTGGGTTGTACTTTATGTTGCATTTAACTCGTTTTGGATAATTACTATTTACATTACTTTTGAATCTGTTTTGGCTACTAGCATCGAACATGCATGTGGATTATTTAAATTAATTAGGTAATTAAGTGTATGACGTATTTTTTTAAATAATTTACTCAATTCAGAAACTTTTCTGAATCATTTTATTAATTACAGGTAACATTGATTTTCAATTATATTTTTCAAGTCTGAAAAGTCATTCTAATTCTAACTCTTTAAATATTCTAAAAATTGAAAATTGCAGAAAAGATTCTTTTTGTTTTAGTTTTCATTTGAGAATGATTAACGTTAATGAGATGGAAATGGAAAATTTGAAAGCCGTTCGTTTTTGCATCGAGCAACATAATCGAGCTATTGAGTTTGTATATTTATGAAAATTGCTTCGAACATCTTTATATTTTAGGATAATATAAATTGATATAAATAATTGTCCTGCAGTTGCAAATTTTTATGTTTTACTAGATATTACAACATCGTTGAATCGATTTTTAGTCCTTGTCTTTTCTTCATGGTATTTTCGAATTGTATCTTCTTTTCTCTTTGCCTAATGGAGGTGCGAATCAAAAGTTTGTTTATAACAAATTTTTTAAGGATTTATTTTTTCTAGACAAATAAAAACTTTCTCAATAAAATTTCAATTAATAATTACTAATTTAATTACTAATCAAATTTTAGGTTAAAAATTTCAGTTTTAATTTTTTAGTTTTTATTTTTAAATTTTTAGGTTGTTACAAATCTTGATGACTTTGAAATAGCCTTAAAGTTCGGAATATTTCTTATTGCTTCCTCAACGAACCTTTTGGTTCACAATGTTTTTTCGCAAAGATTAATGGACCACAGTACTGAAATAGCAGATACTATGTAATATTTTTTAAAACATTTTAATGACAATCGTTTCTCAATTATGACATTACTGAAATATTAATTTGTTTTTCAATAACTGAACATACTAGATACGATATTTCTTGGGATGAGCTGCAATTGAGTGTGAGAAAAATTTTTTTATTTACTATGATGAGATGCAGAATTCCCTGTAAAATGACAGCAGGGAAAATGTTGGATTTATCATATAAAACTGCAACAGCGGTAAAAAAAGTTTCTTGGAGAATCTTAATAAAGATTTAAAGATTTTAATTATTATAATATTCCAGACTCTTCAGGCTTCTTTCTCGTATTTTACTTTGCTACTATCAACCACTACATGAAGAAAATATTTTTATGGAAAATAAATTTAGTCATTTTTTAAGTTAATCCATATTTTTGGTATCAATTCGTTGCAATGCGATACTATTAAGTGATTGCAAAAAAGAAAATAGATTTATTGGAATAAAAGTATATTTAAATTGCTGGTTTTATTGCTAGAAAGTATAAGCCTTTCGTTTTAGAAATAACAGTGAATTTTATAGTTCCTCTTTGCTTGAAGATTGAGAGAGGACTGACGGGAAATTTTCCTGCGAAGACGGTATGTAGAAGGGTAGAGAATCGTAGCGTGAACGTTTAACAAGAATTATTTATAAAGATAATGACGAAAATGTGTTATTATGTTAGAGATATATGATTATAACTATAGTTTATTCTGCTAAAAGATTATTTGAAATTAATACTTGAAAATCCACAGAATACTTTGTTCTTTTCTGTAAGGGTGAAAATTGAATAAATAATGTTGAACATTGATTTTATCACGAGTTACATTTTCACCTCTTGTCAGTAAAGAAGTAGGTGAATTTTATCCGATCAAGTTTTGGAAAATAATGTCGAACACCTTTGACAATCATTATTTTTATGTTAATAAATTCTTCTTATCTTGCATTGGCCAATGGCCTTTTCATAATCAAAAGCGAAATCTTTCTATTCAGTGCTTTATAATTCTACATCTATTCATCTTCTTTATTCCAACGGTAATTATTTTCCATTTTTAATTCTAAAAAATTTTCCACCACTTTAATGCTTCATTTTCTGAATATTCAAAAAAAAAAAAAAATTATTTTCTAGGCAACTGGTTTTTTTAAAGCATGCGGAAATATGAATAAATTAACGGAGTGTATTCCAACAATTTTTTCAGGAATCACTTCTCTTAGTTTTAGCATTATATTTCTATTTAAGCAAGAGGAGGTTAATTTCATTTTACAATTATTTATTTCATGGAAAAATTTTCAACTTAAAAAAAGTGGTGCAAAAATATACTTAATTATTTTATTTCTAGTTGATGAAACTTTATCGAGAAATCAAATTTGATTGGGAATGTTTGTCCTCCGATCAGGAGAAATTAATTATTTCTAAACACGCCAATCATGGACGACGTTTTACAATTTTCTTTACAGGTCAAAGATTTAATTTATGAAAAAAAAGGAAAAAAAATTATTTTTTAAAAAATTTCGAATATTCTAGGCTGTATGATTGGCTCATTAATAACTTATATATTAATGTCATCAACAACACAATTTCTAAATATTTTACCTCTCAATGAATCGAAATCAAGTGAACTGCCATGTCATGTTTATTATTTTTTCAATTATTCCGAAAAATATTTTTATTGGATACATTTTTCATTTAATACACTTTTAGAAATGGTTATTTTTATTGTTTTCGAATCCGTTTTGGCTGTATCCATTGAACATGCATGTGGATTATTTAAAAAAATTGGGTAAATTTTAGATTATAATTGTTATAAAATTTGTTCATTTATAATACAGGCACACAAAAAAATTTAAAGTGGTCTGTTTATTGAACCAGACTCTATCACCCTCTAATTTTTTTTAATCGAAAAAACTACCCTCAAATGTAAAAATTCAGAGTTTAAAGTAAAAAAAATAAAAAACAGATTGTGTCCCAAACAGAACAATAAATTTATGAACTTCCCTTTCAACAACTCAGAAACAAAAAACAAAACCTATTTTGTGAACAATTTTTATTTCTCAATAACAATATTGTTTACAAACTCATTTTTTTCATTTTAGATAGAAAAACATTAGATTATCCCGTTTCTTAATATTTTTGTAGAAAATTCTCTATTTTTATAAGCAAATAATTTATGCATCAATTCTATTTCTTAATTTCAATTGTTTTTATAAAATTTAAAGTTTTTTTTAGAAAATAACGGAAAAAATTTTATTGAAAAAAAAATGTTCTCTTAAATTTATTTAAGACTATCTTTAATTGTAAAATTATTCGAAAACAATAATTTCTTTTTTAAATATTTTAAATATATTTAATTATTATTATTTTTCCATAGGAATTAAGATTTTCAAAAATTTCAAATTCAAACCTTTTTGAAATTAATCCACTTTAAAAATATTGCTATAAAACATAAAGATAACGATTTCTTTAATTAACAAATTTTTAAATAATTAAATTCTTTTGACAAATATTAATAAAATTTTATAGAATAGTTACATTTTTCAAGGAATTTGATTAAAATTATATTAAAAATAATTGAAATTCTGTGATGAGTTAAAACTTTTTTAAAAATAATAAATTATTTCTGAAAATAATTGAATTCCGAAGAAAAATATTATTATTTATAAAAATAATTAATTTCTAGTGAAGAATTTGATTTAAATTTTTTTAAATAATCGTATTTCTCAGAATTTTTTTAAAACCTTTTGAAAATAATTAAATTTCATCTATAGAAATTTCATTAAAAAATTGAAAATAATTTAAATGTGATGACAAATTTTATTAAATTTTTTCTTAAATAATAGAATTCTTATGAAAAATTTTGTTTTTGAAAATAATTGATTTCTTTCGAAGAATTTTATTTCAAATTTTTTCAAATAATTAAATTATTTTTGTAATTAGGCATGTAGAAAATTTTTGGAATAACATTTTCTTACGTATTTTTTTATCGCTCTTTCAGAATCTGTCATCAAAATTGCAAAAAACAAAAATTCCAAAAAGTTAAGGCTACTTATTTGGAAAAAAAATGCAAATTTTTGACATTTTCTATCCAAAAATGATTTTCTTTTTCATATAACCAGTAACCAAAAAAATTCTTCACCATAAAATATCGCGTCCACAATATCCAAGCTTTAAAGTGATGGACCCTACATTTAAAAATTTCAAGATGACGGATCCAAAATGTCGACAAAAGAATTTTTTTTCACAAAAATTGACACCCTGTGGACGCTTTTTTTTAATTCTCCTTTTATTTATATGAAAAGGAGTACGTGAATGTTTTTTGGGTCGCTGATCAATTTCAAAAATATCGACCGCCATATTGGATCCGCCATTTTGAATTTTTTAAATGTATGGTCCATCACTTTGAAGCTTGGATATTGTGGACGCGAATTTTTCTGGTTACTGGTTATATGAAATAAAATCATTTTTGAAAAAAAAATTTCAAAAATTTGCATTTTTTTCAAATAAGTGGCCATAACTTTTTGGAATGTTTGTTTTTTGCAATTTTGATGACAGATTCTGAAAGAGCGATAAAAAATACGTAAGAAAATGTTATTCCGAAAATTTTCTACATGCATAATAACAAAAATAATTAACGTTGAAAATGATTGAAAAAAAGCGTCCGTCCCGGCGTTAAAGGGTTAAACTTTGAATTTGAATATTTAATGGTAGTTTTTTCGATTTAAAAAAATATGGTGGAGCAATTCTGACTTCATATTCGTTTTCAGCAGGCAAAAATACTATAAATATAGGCCTGGTTTAATAAACAGACCATTTTTATTTTTTTCTGTGCCTTTGTAATTATTTTGTTTATTTTTTATTAAAAAGATTATTTTGAATTGTGCTTCAGTTTACATGTGCAAAAAATTAATTGCAACAACACCGAAAGGGATAATTTGAAAGCGCTGATTTATTGCGTTTCGGAACATAATCGAGCAATTGAGTATGTATACTTTGTACATATTTAAAAATTTAATTTCAAAATAATAGATTTTCGAAATATTTTTTAAAAAATTATTCATTTTTGAAATTGAATTTCTAATTAGATTTTGTAGCAGTATTAAAGCTCTCTACTTGCCCTGCTTTATGTTTTTAGTGACATTAAATAGCATTTTTATTTCTGCTTCTTTGATTCAGGTGAGTATTTTTCTAAGTTCTATTAACTAATTTTTATTCTGTTTGTACCAAGGGAAAAATTTCATTAGTTCATTATAGTTTTTTGGACTTTTGAAAATTAAATTTTTTTTACAAATAACTTAGCTTCTTACTGAATTCAAAATCATCAATTCCCATCTTTATTATTTACAGATTGTTGCACATTCAAATAATTTCATAGTAACTGTAAAATATTGTGCCTTTGTTGGAAATTCTGTGGCTCATCTATTTTTTAACACACTTTTTACACAAAGAATAAGGGACTATAGTACTGGTCTTACAGATACTGTGTAATATTTTTTTTTAAATAAATCAGGGACTTGACTGTAAAGAAGATATGTTAAAAAAATTTTTGAACTTTATGTGGTATACAGAATTTTTAGTGACTATAATATTCACCTGGTGTTGGTAATAATAGTCCTGTTTGGTCTATTCTTACACTAATTATATATTTTTCTAATTAATTATACTCTTTGAAGAAAATGATAAATAATAAGTTGTAGTCAGTATTTTAATATTTTTTAGGTGTTAAAAAAATATTTTTAAACATAAATTTTTTAGGTTCACCATAAAAGTTTGATTAATTTACAGATACAATTCTTTGTGGTATGAAAAACCATCTGGAATAAGAAAAATTTTGTTACTTATTATGCTGAGGAGTAAAATTCCTTGGAATATATCTGCTGTAAAATTGTTAAATATATCACTAAGAAGTGCTTGTTGGGTAAGAATATTTAAAAAGTTATAATCTAGTAATTATTTTGTTGTGCTTTACATGAATTTATTTGAAATATTCTACTAATGAAGACCTTCTTTTAAGATCTATTAAACAACTTCTATTTTGCTCTGATAATATCAACAACGTATTAAAGAGTTAATAGTCATAGAATCAAAGTGGCTCACTTTCTTCTGAAATATTTCATTATTTAATTTAGCAATCACTTGCTAAACAATTGGAAAATAAAATTGTTTATTAAGAATTGGAAAGTATTTTTCTAACCCATTGTATGGGTTTTTCTTTACCCATTTTATTTTATATTTTTTTTAACTCCTGTGTGTTGTGCGAGTAACCTAATAGTATGGGTGTTTCTTGTTTTGCGCAGTAGACGAATTTAAGTACACTACGCATTCCGACCTATGTGTCAGTATGCGCAGAACACTAAAATTCGTTAACTGCGCAACGACGATATAGTAACACGATTTTCCTAAATACAGCAATTCAATAACTTTGCATTGAGACGTTATAACATCTTTCTTTATTAAACATAATTTCTAATAACTTTCTTTATTAAACACCTTTTTAAAATATTCAAAAAATATTGTACTATGTGGGGAAAAAATTATTATTTCACTCTACTCTCATCAAATTACATTGGTATTATTATTTCTCTCACCAATAATATTTTCTGAATTATACATTTTTTTTTATAAAAATTCTAGAGAGTAATTTAAAATTAAAACTCACAGTACATCATAAATGTACGTATACACTAAATAATTGCCATTTGCAGAATAGAATAATGGCTCTCTTCTTCACGGTGATTGACAAGCATTCAGCCAAACAGTGACTCAACATTTCATACTTTTAATGATAATAGCGTAACAAAAAATAGTTACAATACTTAACAATAAATAACTAAAAAAATAATATCAATAAAGAAAAAAAATTAAGAAAAAAAATTATTTTTAAAAATTTTAACGAATATTTTGTCAAGAATTCAATTATTTATCTTTATAAATAGAAAAATTTTTTCGCCAAAAATTTAAATAAAATTTTTTGCAAAATATTAATTATTTTCAAAACAAGTTTTTCATAATTCAATGATTTTCAATTTTTACTAATTTCATGAAATTTATCAAAAAAAATTTAATTTTTAAAAAAGATTTTTGATATAATTCTACGAAAACAATCAATTATTTTCATAAATAATAAAATTACATTCAGTCAAATATTTTTCATTGCAGAATTTCAAATATTTTTAATACCTACAATTTTAAAGAAATTCTTTAAAAAAATGCAATTATTCTCAAAAAATTTTTTAAAAATTGACGAAAGAATTGAATTGTAAGAAACATTCAATATTATTTAATAAAATTATAAAATTCGTTGCAATAATTCAATTATTTTTATAAATAACTTTAAGTTGGTCGCAAGAAATCAATTATTTTCAAAATTTTTTTCAAGTTTTTCTGCAAAAGAATTCAATTATCTTGAGAAACAACAAAATTTTCCCTATAAAATAAATTATTTTAAGGAATTTTCATATAAATTCTTTTCCAAAATTCAATTACTTTAGTAGATATCAAAATTCATCACAAAAATTCAATTCTTTTGAAAAGTAATTCTTCCCATGAATTCAATTATTTTCATAAATTATTATTTAAACTCCTTTCGGGAATTCAATTCTTTTAAAAAATTTTAATAAAATTCTTCAAAAAGTTTTCAATTATTTTCAAAAATTGTTATAAAATTCTTTAATAAATAAATTCCAGTAAAATTTAAATTTAATTCCTTTAAAGAATTTAAATATTTTCAAAAGTTGTTAATAAAATTCTTCGTAAAAATTAAATTTTAAGAAACATTCAATTATTTAATAAAATAATAAAATTCGTTGCAATAATTCAATTATTTTCTTAAATAACTTTTAATTCATCGCAAGAAATCAATTATTTTCAAAATTTTTTTTAAGTTTTTCTGCAAAAGAATTCAATTATCGTGAGAAACAACCAAATTTTCTCCATAAAATCAATTATTTTAAGGAATTTTAATATAAATTCTTTTCCAAAATTCAATTACTTTGATAAATATCAAAATTCATCGCACAAAAATTCAATTCTCTTGAAAAATAATAAAATACTTTGCAGAAATTAAATTATTTTACAAATTTTTTAAAAATTCTTGTCAATAATTAAATTATCTTTATAAATTTGTAGCGAAATTCAACTCAAGAATTAAATTATTGTCAAAAATTTTAATAAAATTCTTTGGCAAAATTTCAATTATTTTAAAAAAAATGTAATAAAATTCTTCGCAGGAATTCAATTATTTTTATAAATTATTATTTAAATTCTTTTTAGGAATACATAATAATAATTAAAAATTATTAAATTCAATTAAAATTTTTAAAATTTTTAATAAAATTCTTTAATATAATAAATTCCAGTAAAATTTAAATTAAATTCCTTATAAGAATTTAAATATTTTCAAATGTTGTTAATAAAATTCTTTGTAAAATTAAATTTTAAGAAACATTCCAATTATTGAATAAATTATTTATTTTTCTATTTAAGTAATTGAATTCTCGTAAAATTTTCTAATAAAAATTGATTTAAAAATAAATTTCAAAGAAGTTAGAATATAACAATATTCTTATATAAAATAATAATTTTATTCCTAGGTTATCTTTCATTGTTATCTAAAAACTAAAACAAAGTTAAATTTTTGTGGCAACCCTGCAGTAATATATAATAATAATAATTAATGATATTTATTCTAAGAATGATATGGCTCTATAACGATCGTCAGAGTGAAATTTTATAAATATACATATATATATTTTAAAGCTCTGGGAAAGCATTTGGTGCATAATTAATAACAACATTAGCATAAGCTGATTTGCAATAACTCGTTCCTTCCACAAAGCTTGAGAATTACATTAATTTCGAATAAAATTACGCTAAATCTATATACAGAGAGAGAGAGAGAGAGAGAGTAGAATCTTCTTTCATGAATTATACACTCGTATTAAAACTACCGATTTGTAGTAAACAAATAAATTTATAAACTTCGAAGTATTATTTGTCTAGGTTTATGAGAGAATGTGTAGAAATAATTTTAAAAAAATAATTAATTATTTCATTTTTCTTACTTCAAAGTTTGGACTAGCAACAATTTCGTGAGCCAAAGCGCGCTGCTAACTTCTTACTGATTTTTTAAAAAAAATTTAGCAATTTTAAAAATAATAGAATTTAAACATTTTTATTTCAAATTTTTGTTGAAAACACTAAAAAAATTCAATTTTAGAGAAATTACAAATTGCAGAAATTCAATTATTTTCAAAAGTAATAAAATTCTTCTCATAAAATTCAATTATATTCAAAATTAAAAAAAAAATGTTCGTCAAAATCCTAATTATCTTTATAAATAACAAAATTCTTCCCCAAAGTTCAATTATTTTCAAAAATGTCAATAAAATTCTTGTCCTAATTTCAATTATTTTCAAAAATTTTCCTCATTTCAATGATTTTCAATATCTACTATTTTAATAAAATTACCAAAAAGAATTCAATTATTTAAAAACAATTTTAATAAAATTGTACGCAAACATTTAAATATTTTTTTTTGTTAATTTGTTAATTTGTTAATAAAATTCGTTATATGAATTAAATTTTAAAAAACATTGAATTATTCAATAAATAACTTACTTTTATATTTAAATAATTGAATTCTTGTAGAATTTTTGAAAAATTGATATGAAAATTAATTTTAGTATAAATTTTAGATAGTAATTAATGATCAAAAGCATTTTAAAGATGTTACAGTGACAATATTCTTACAATATATATAATAATGATTTTAACACTCGATCCTCTTTAATTATTATAAAACATGAAGAAAACGATTATTCGGAGTAATCGTTATCTTCATGTTTTTTAACAATATTTTTAAATTTTTGAAAAACTTAATTCCTATGGAAAAATAATAATAATTAAATATTTAAAATATTTGAAAAAGAAATTATTGTTTTCGAATAATTTTACAATTAAAGATATTCGTAAATAAATATTTAACAGAACATTTTTTCCTTTAATTTCTAAAAATTCAACAATTCAATTATTTTCAATTCATTTCTTCTTAAGAATTCAATTATTTTCACAAATAATACATTTTTTTGTGAGAATTAAATTATTTAGAAAAAGTCAAATAAAATTCTTCGAAAGGAATCAATTATTTTTAAAAATAAAATTTTAGAATTATTCAATTATTTAGAAAAAAATTTAATAAAATTTTTCGTCAGATTTAAATTATTTTCAATTTTTTTAAATGAAAATTAGGACAAAATTATTAACAAAACTGGTATCAAAAATCATCTTTTGGCAGACTTATAATTTTTTTTTTGAAACCATTCATAACCAACATAAAATAAATGTGATTCGGTAAATATTATTTTTCACTAAACAAACAATTTATCCTAAACTAATTTAATTGTAGATGAAAATAGAGAGTGAGAGTGAGTGTATTTTTTTACAATAAAAAACATCTCGAAAGAGAGATGAGGGAAAAAAAAAGAATC